ATATGGTCCGCCAAATACACAAACAAGTATATGTATATATGTTGCAAATTATATTAACTTTCCGAATGACATTGAACCACAAACTTAGCAAGAAAACTAGTACCAAAAAAAGTTAAAAAAAAAAAATTTCATCTTAATAAATAAATTATTTCTAATATAAACTTCATTTGAGTATATCTAAAATTGAATACATGGAATGTAATTTAGTGATAGTAGCTCTAGTGGCAAAATTATAACTATAGAAGATCAAATCATTAAAAGGTGTTAACGTTTTAGACATATCGGGTCTATTATTCAAACTGACGGTGATATATATGGGGATGTAATTAGTAGAATTCAATTTAGTTGGTTGAAGTGGAGGTATGCATCGTGTGAGAGAAAAGTACTATTAAGACTTAAAGAAACATTTTATAAGATGTTGGTAGATCTGAAATGTTTTATGGCGAAGAAGTAGGCCTTTAAAAAAGAAGCATAAAACAAAGTTTAATGTTGCTGAGATGAGAATGCTTAGGTAGATGAATAGCTTGACACTTAGAGACAAAATGCGAGATGAATCTATCCGCGAAAGGGTTGGTGTAATTCCAGTGGCAAAAAAGACTAGGGAAAGTCGTCTTAGATGGTTTGGTCACATTAAAATAGACTATCTGATGAACCGTTCAGGAGAGTGGATGTTTTAGATTTAACTAATGTTAAGAAAGGTAGAAGTGGACCTCAAAAGACTTGGGCAAATTGTATAAAAAATGATCTTAATCTATTAAAATTAAATGAAGATTTTACACTCAATAGGAGAAAAAGGAGAAAAAGGATTCATGTAGTTGACTGCACAGTGGGATGAAGGCTTGTTGTTGTTAGTATAAACCTTTTATTTCCAAAAAAAGTAATAAGCCAAATTGATAGCTGAAAATGTAAAAAATTGTCATTAGGATGGGAGACAAAACTCAAAACTTGAGAAAAACAAGTATACTTGAAGATGAAAGTTCAAAATCCTGCATACACAATCAAATGATTTACAAACACTAATCATTTTGCAGTGTATGCTAGCGCTTCCGATAAATAACTGGAACTCAAATCAATTACTTCTCATTAATATTCAGTAAACTTGCAAATGTAATAAATTTAACATAATTTGCAAATATAATCGTTTACAATAGGAACGTATGGATGATTGTTTGCATATATTTATGTGCTGGTTTAATATTCATGTAGTTTGATAAAAAAAACTTGTTTAAAGGTTGTTTAGTGTGTTTAAATTTCAATAATTCATTTCTAATTGAATTCTTTCACTGATCTAGTGCACTATACTAAAAGTAAAATTTGAATCAATTTAACATAAACAACATACAAAATTAATATATAAATACTAATCCACACACACTACATCTCTCTCTCTCTCTCTCTCTCTCTCTCTCTCTCTCTCTCTCTATTTCTCTCATCATTTCAATGCTCTCACTACATATAATTTTATTAATACACGTTAAAGATATAGTTCAGCTTGAGTTCAATAAAAAAATTAATAATGTGTGAACAAGAATATAAAGCTTGATAGAGCAATATATAAATAGATTTGAATAATCAAAATTTAAGATGGCTTAATTACAGTTGTGTGCTGCTTAAAACTAATCAGACATCCAAATGAAGAAACATTGTGTTCATTATTTACTTTAATAGGGTTGTCAAAAAAGCTCGTTGTTCGCGAACAGCTCGTGTTCGGCTCGTTAAATAGCTCGCATTCGGCTCGTTCGTTAAGTAAGCGAACCTAACACGAACAAGTTTTTAAAGCTTGAATTATAAATGAGCCGAACACAAACAGTTCTTTGTTCACTTGTGCTTGACTCATTTTAGCTCAAAAAAAATTATATAATTATTTATATAATAATATATAATTAGTCTCTTATTTTGTATATATTTGGTCCAGGTTCGAATCACAGACCTTACACCTATTTTTTTCAATTTAATTTTAACGAGGCAATTTCGAGCCGAACACGAACACACTGTTCAAGAGCCGCTTGAACACGAACACACTGTTCACGAGTCAATTTCGAACACGCTCGCTCAAGGAGCTCGCTCAAGCTCGGCTTGTTTATAGCCCTACTTTAAAACATACATACAACTGATAGTCTTTCACAAATATGAAGCATGGGAACATGTAGATGTACAAAATCTTTACTTGCATAACAAAGAGGCAATTTCGTGACTTAGGGTCTGTTTGGAGCGGCGACAAGAGTGCGGCGCGGCGTCGGGCCTCGATTTCCGGTCGTTTGGGGTAGCGGCAAGGCTGTGGCCTGCCGCAATATTCTTCAAAAGCGGAAAGCCAGAACAGGCCCGCTTCCCAGCTTCGTGTTCCGCCTTTTTACCCCAAAGCCCCATTCTGCCTTTTCACGCCGTCCGAAACAAATCCGGCCACAAGCAAAAAAGAATGGCATGCGACGAGCTTCTTCCCTCTCCTCCTCTTCTTCGAAGGTCCTCCTCCTCTCACGCAGCCGCTTGAGGCGTTGGTGCTTAAGGGATCTTATTTCAGTGCAAGGTGTTTAAGGGATTCTGCTTTTCTGATGCGATAGTGGAGCAACTTTTACCTAAGCTTCTGCAAGTAACCGCCACAGCTAGTGTCATTGGTTGAGAACATGTGGATGTCTTGTTTTTCTTTTTGCTTCTTTTTAATGGAACTAAGGAAATCTGAGCTAAAGATTCCCCATTTCTTTGAGCTTTTCTACATCTCCAAGCAACACTTGGGGCGTTCCAGTGAGTTATTTGCAATTTAGCCAAAGTTATAATTTGTCTTTGTTTCTTTTCTTTTGTTTGACCTGGCTTTGAATTATTTGTATATTGACATACTTATGGAGATCAGAACTATGATGTTATGTATAAATTTATTAGTGTTGCTTCGCTCTCGAAAGAAAACTCATTAAAAATTAGAACCATAATTCTATTTGATTGTAATTTTTATCTGTTTTTTATGAAATGCTAGAACTTGCCAGCTTGAAAAGGTCGTTGGCTTTTTTTTTCAGAAAAAAAAAGATTTGAGCTATTTTTGAAAATTTCGTGAATATTTTACCATGGTATTGGCAGACACTTGTAGTTCTTTGAAACAAACTCAATGTATCATTCTTATGGAGAATTGCATACTTTTCTTTTCTAGCTTCGTTTAGCTTTCTATAATTTTCTTTGATGTGAAAGCATGCATTGAAGGATTGCTATCCTGTTTTCATGGTAATTTATTTGTCTAAGATGTTAGACTTCTCTATTTTATGTGTTTTTAATCCTAAACAAAAGTTGTTAGCACTTTGGGGCTTATTGAAATTCCAAAATTATGATTGTTATACTCTTTTTTAAACTGTTTTACCAAACAGGGATAGTATGGTCTTTTTTCCATAAAGAGCTGCCCGACAGGTGATTTCACACAGCTGCCCAAAACAGACAGTCAGTTTCCCCGCAGCTGCTTCCTGGGGCGGCGCAGCTGCAGCTGCCCCAAACAGAGCCTTAAGCAAATGAACTTTTTCTATTATACCATAACAAAGAGGCAATTTTGTGTACTTTACTTTGTTTTTAATATTTATAAATAATTTTTGTTTAAGTGAAGTTTTCGAGTTGGCTCGAGCCGGCTTTCGAGCAAGCTTGATCAGGTGTTCGAGCCGGATCGAGCGGGTGTTTGAGCCAGATAGAGAGGTGTTCGAGCCGAATCGAGCAGGTGTTTGAGCCGGATCGAGCAGGTGTTCCAGTCGGATGTTCGAGCCGGATGTTCGAGCCGGATCGATATGTGCTCGAGCCAGATCGAGCATGTGTTCGAGCCGGATCGGTATGTGCTCGAGCCAAATCGATCCGGCACACAAGCCAAAAATGACATCAGAGTCGGCTCGTTTAAAATTCAATCCAGCCCGTTTACAATTCGATTCAGCTCGAAAATCATTCAATTTCAATCTGGATTGGATTGAAATTAAGTTGAATCGAATCACAAGCCGATTTTGATCCGATTTCGCAGCCCTTAGATCGGCTCAAAATCAACTTATCAGCCCTATCTCTACTTCCCCTTTCTTCTCTACCCGAAACCCTTGCCCACATCGCTCTTGGTTTTGCCCAAAGACCCAACCCCTCTCCTGCCTGAAATGCTCGCCTACACCCTTACTCCCTCTTCCGGATTAGCAGAAAACCATCGCCTTCGTGACAAAACCCTCACGATACAATGACAATTAGAGCTAACTGGGAAGGCAACGGCGGGATCACAGCAAACAGAGACCCGAGATCACAGCAAACAGAGACCCGAAGTTTCCATCATGCTCCTCCTTCTGCATCTCTCCTATCCGAAACCATGGAAATATATTTAGTAAGGTAACTAAATATCTTCCTTTACGCTTAAATCACCCGTCACAGATTTACTAATCCTCCAACTCTCAGGAAGTACATCCGGGATTTACGGTTGAAATCAGTAAAATCCGAATTTACAAAATCCGCAGCTTTATTTTGACCAAAATGACTGCCTGGTAGGATTTAGGTCAAATCCAGGTTAAATCCTTTCTCTAAATCCGTTACCAGACAGCCCCTAATCCTGCCAATTTTTTTACAGTTAAACTTTTAGTATTTTGCTAAATCCAATTTGAGCTCCATCATCAAAAATTTTGTTAAATCCCATGAGATTTTAATGGATTCTAAGATTCCCCTTTCTCGAAAATATTTAATCTTGAAACAATAATCTAGATTGTTTATTAGAACTTATCAAGATTTAACTTTCGTAACGCCAAGCAGTTTTCAGGCTGTAATCCGCTCGAGATTTGCTAAAACTGAATTTACATAAAAAACAATACGCTTCAGAAAACCAGAAGTCCCCTTCATAAATAAAGGTTAACAAATTTTGAAATTACACAAGATCAAATCAAATCTACCACAAATAACCTCAACAATTCTTCTCCAGACTCCACCAAAACGATCAGATCGCCTATCAATCGCAGTATAGAAAACATACAAACCCTAAAAAAGAATACATGTGGTGATAGAAGACTTGGGATCACCTTGCAGGGTCTGCCTTTGATGACTATGTACCCATTCTTCCGGATGGTTCCGGCTTGCTGCGGATACGTCTTCGAGGCGCCGGCATCTGCCTTCGATTCAAAGTGGTGCTCCTCATCCGACATTTCTGTCTTCTCCCCTCGGTCTCACCTCTCCAACAGATCAGAAGCAGACTGAACGGAAGAGGGACGGAACAAGGACGACCGAATTAATTTATATCTTTCAGAGGGCTAGGGTTTTTTATTTTGCTCGTGACCGTCGGATGCCAGGCAACGTTCGGTCAAGATCAGCAATGGGCGATTTTTCTGTTTTTTTTTTTAGGAAAGTGGAATATCGGTCTCTCGCATAAGGATTTTTACTGATTTGATAACAGCCGTCCGATTCAAATTGTATGGCTGAAATAGATTAATTGAAAAGGGTGATCATAGTCCTTTTTTCAATTGGGATATGATTTACGCTAATCATTAGGTGGATATTTTCTTTTTTATGATATTTTATTTTTATAAAGGGATGGAAAAATAAAAAGACATACTAAGAGCATGGGTTAAAAGATAACCTACCTTCATAAAAAAATTGATAGATAATAAATCTCAATTAGATGATGTAAGTTTAATTAAATAGTATTATTAATATATAAGTAATGAGTCAAAAGATGTCCTGTGGAACACACCTAAAGAATATAGTTTTAGACGGACGAGAGAAATTGAGAGAAAATATCGTAATGCACAATCACACGAGTAGGGTTGTCAAAACTGCGGGTTGTTTTGCAAACAGCTCGTGTTCGGCTCGTTCGCTAAGTTAACGAGCCGAACAATAACAAAGATTTGTTTGTTAGTATTCAGCTCGTTTTGGCTTGAAACTATATATAAACAATAATTTTTAAATACTACCCCAATTCATAACATCTTATGGCTATGTGAATAAGGTTGTCAAAATGACTCTTTGTTCGTGACTCTTTGTTCGTGAACGGCGCTAAGCAAACGAGTCGAACACGAACACACTTTTTGAGCTTGAAATATAAACGAGATGAAGCCTGGGCTCGCTCCTGTTCCGCTCGTTTACACTCCCACACACTAGTTCTTCAATAGTAGATTTAGTAGTTTTTTTTTTAAAGAAATGGTCTCATATTTATACTTCATAGTTTATATTTAGTAAAATTATATGTTTGTTCCTGTTTTAATGGGCATGTCATAAAATGTAACTATGGATGATCAAATTATTAAAAGGTGTGAATGCTTTAGATATCTCAGGTTTAATGTTCAAAGTGATGGTGATTTTGATGTGGATATTATTAGTAGAATTTAAGTTGGTTTGTTGAAGTGGAGGAATGCTTTGGGTTTATTGTGTGATGGAAAAGTGTCGCTTAGACTGAAAGGAAAATTTTATAAGATAATGGTGAGACCTGCCGAGAACTGCAATGCTCTATGGCGTTGAATGTTTACCTTTAAAAGAAAAGCATAAATCTAAGTTAAGTGTTGTCGAGATGAGAATGATTAGGTGGATGAGTGGTTTTACACTTTGAGGCAAAATGCAAAATGAATATATCCGTGATAGGGTTGGTGTAGCTCCAGTGACAGACAAAATTAGAGATAGTAGCCTTAAATGGTTTGGTCACATTAAATGCAGGCCATCTAATGATCTGATTAGAAGAGTAGATGTTTTAGATTTGACTTATGTTAAGAAAGGCATAGGGAGATCTAGAATGACTTGGGCGTATTGTATGAAAATGATCTTAATTTGTTAGAACTAAATGAAAATATTACACTAATAGGACGTAATGGAGAAAAGGATGCATGTAGCTGATCTCACTTAGTGGGATAAAGGTTTTGTTATTGTTGTATATTTTGTTCTTTGATTTTCATACTTCTTGAAAATAACTGTTGTGATAAGGATAAGAAAAAAAATGCAAAAAATTGACTTATTTTTTGTGGAATGAGCACTTCTACTAATTGAATTTCCTGGATGTACTTGCCTGCATTCCTTATTAATACAATGTGATTGACGCTTTGCATCACCATTTTTTGATTTTTATTCTCAATCATTTTTTAATAAAGAATAGATATGACAAGCAATAAGAAACCTGTGAGCGAGGAAGTTATATTGAAGGCCTTTGGGTTTTTGACTGAGAGACTCTGTCATCCCGTAAGTGAGAAGAAGAAACTTGAAGTACTCGGCTGGCACCAAAGAAGAAACCTTCAGATGAGGGTCATTAGGTAGAAAAGACGCGGGAGGGTGAAGGACGGTCGGCCGGCTCAAAGAGACCGAGAGAAGGGATGAAACTAGAGAGAACAAAACCTTTCAAGCAAGCAGTGCATATGAAACAAAGAGTCGAGGAGGTGATTGAGTCATCCAACTTATTGCCACTTTGTGATATAGGGGGCAAAACCAACGCCGCCCCTTGCTCTAAATCCGATTCGCTAGCGGCCACTTCATTTGTCAGCACAATAACAGGTGCAAACAACAGCGGCGACTGTTGACCTCACTTTTGTCAACTACTCATCAACCTCAAATATTTAAAACAAACTTGAAATAAATCACAATAAATTGAAGTCAAATATAAATAACAATAATCAATCTTAAAAATTGGACTGAAATGCAACCCGATGAGGGAATATTCTACAATTATTATTTTTATACTTAAAAATTATTGTTATCTCTATAGATCATCATGGTGTTTAAAATATCATGCTATGAGCTATATTTGTTTCATTATGATTGTATGAATAGCATAGAATGAGTCCCGACGACTACCGAACGATTTTTAACGTGAAATTTTAAGTGACAAGCTTTCATGCATAAGAATTTGGAGCACATAAAATTTTTCATCGGAGTGTCATTTTACAAAACAAATTTCTTCAATGCTTCCGGATCACCAAAATTTTTTGAATGAGTTCCTTTAGACTCTAATCGGACTTCGTTTTACAGTCCATTCAACTCACAATGATTTTGATGATAATTAGGATAATTTGAACGATAATTGTAAATTTGCCCTCGGAACAAACTCAAATCAACTTTAAACTCACGATATAATCAAAGAGAGCTAAAAATATCAAAATTGACCAATTTGAAGCTCATCTGAATTTTCATAAAAAATCAAGCTCATCTGAATTTTCGTAAAAAATCTCAAAGTTCTCTCTTCTGAGTAGGGTCCTAACTTTGACCCCAACTTCCGCGTCTGGAAGCAACATTAGCCAAAACCAGCTTCAGCTTTAAATTACTTGAATTTTTCTCTACCAGGTGGGTCAAGGACTTCATTTTTTTTGGTTGGCAATACGCCCGCACGCACTCATGCATGCAACCGCACACCCGTGCACGCTCACTTGCCTTTGATCCCCAAATCAGAATGACTAAACCAACTTTGGATGGGAGATGCCGCCGCCTAGCGGCGTGACCCCATCGTCAAACATCCTGCTCGACCCCAACGACTAAAAGACGCGTCATTTCATTGCAGTGATCCATGAGAGCCCCATAGTTTATTCGTGGCACCTCTCGCTGAGTTCTATTCATTCAGTCGTCCATCTTCCTTCCAACCAACGGTGATCAAGGGATCGATCCGAGGGAACTCCAGATGTCAAACCTCTTCTGTCGAGCTCCTCTGCTTATTTATGACAGACTCTCTTCAAACCATCCTGGACCACTAACTCTCTGCATCCTCTCCCTTGCTCAAATCTCCTCTTCTCCTTGGATTGTTTTAGCCTATCTATACATTACATATGTTAAAAAGCATAATATAAGTCATCCATGTCTTTCTTTTGTTACAAAGCATGTATGAGTGTATGTAACTTCCATGCATTTTCTTATTATGTTTCATATTAATTAAAATGTAAAAATAAAAGGAATGATAAGGAGAATCTCTCACAAGTAGGCTACACCTTGTGAAAAAAGAAAAAAAGAAAAAGTGTGTATGTGGCATTTGCTAGTTCACGCCATTTGAATGTAAAATAGAATAAAAATCAATTTTCAAAACCCTTTAAAACAATAAAAAAAAAACAATCTTTTAAAATTAAAACAGCTTAAAAATGACTTTTGGTTATGAAAATCAGAGATGACTTCTAAAACAATTTTAAATCTGTTAAATAAAACTTAAAAGTAATTTAAAAAAGGATTTTAAAATATTTTTAAAACAATTTAAAAATCATTTCAAATTACTTAAATAATAATAATAATTTAAAATGAATTTAAAAAGACTTTAAAATATTTGAAACAATAAAAATAATGAAAAAATAATAATAATAATAATGTATTTAAAACATTTAAAAATATTTTAAAATAATTTAATATTAAAATAATTTAGAATAATCCAAGCCCAAACCCAACATATCTAACCCAAATCGAAACATAACCCAAACACAAACCTAAACCTAACCCTAACCCAAACACGAACATTAACCTAACCCAACCCCAAACCCTAACCCTTACCAAACCCAACCCAAACCCAAAACCAAACCAAACCCTAACCCAAAGCCAACCTAACCCAAACAGAAACACTAACCCAAACCCAAACCTAACTCAAAACCAAACCCAAACTTTTAACCTAACAAAAACCAAAGCCAAATCCAAACCAAACCCAAAGGAACGCTACAAATCTTCCCATATTTCTATCTTTTTTTTCTTCCAAATTCCCTAAAAAAAAAAAAAGAGGCAGCAGTTAAAAAAAAGAAAAATGAAATCTGCATTCATTCCGTTAATTGAAATTCCCATGAATTCCGCAGCATTCTTTTGTGAATTCTGATCTGCCGGCTTTCTAAATTCCGGCACATGTAAATTCCTTTAAAACCAAATGGATAAAAATAATTGCATTAGAATTAGAGTAAATCAACAAAATTTTTGGATAATCAACATTCGAATCGACGTCCTTTTTAACATGCAAAATCAAGCCAACTGACCTGCGTTGTTCAGCTTACTTCCGTAATGTATATATATATCATACTTTAACACAATGCAAGAAAGCAACGCATGCATAAATTTATACAATAAGAAAAGTTATAATCTTATTCTAAACAATAACTTTAATATGTTATATCTCAAATCAGTTAGTCGGGCGTCTTGTGAGTTATAATTTCTCTCTGGTATGGGATTTGATTCTCCCCGAGTATATGTTATAATTCCTCTCTGGTATAGGGTATGTATATATATATATATATATATATATATATTGTATAATACATGTATGTGTATATGAATGAAAATATGAAGACATCGA